TGGACTGAACTTAAAACTGAGAACATTGAAAGCATTTTTGTTACAATACGACCCAAATGCTTACCTAGATCTATTAGTAACATCACTATTGCTGTTGTGTACCATCCCTCTCCCTCTAGCGCCAATGATTTCATTATGTGTAATCACATTTCGAATAACCTTGACTTTATCCGCACTAAGCATCCTGATACCGGAATTTTCATACTAGGAGACTTCAATAGAATGAAAGATGCTCAATTGAAGCAATTCCCGTTAAAACAGATTGTTAAGGATTGCACTAGGGAAAATGTTATACTGGATTTAATGTATACATCCATAGAAAATTTCTGTGAAACACCATACACTGAACCTGGACTGGGTTTGTCCGACCACTTAGTAGTTCTTTGCAGGCCTAACCTAGTGAGTAAAAGAGTACCACCAACTAATTCGTACCAGTATAAGAGGAAAGTCAACAATCAAGCAAAGGAACTGTTTGAGCAAGATCTTACGAATATTGGCATGAGTTATACGCGCAAGCAACCTCTGCTGAGCAGTACGAATTCTTTGCTTCTCGGATCAGAACTCTTGTTGAAAAACACTTTCCGCTTATCCAAGTTGTTCGCACTAATGTTGAAAAGCCATGGGTTACAAGTTACTACAAATCCCTGATTTACAGACGTCAAGCTGAACTCAAGAAAGGCAACATGATTGAATTCAGGAAACTCAGAAATAAAGTAAACAAAGCCTCTAAAAAACTTAGATGCAGATACTATGAAAAGGAAGTTTCGCAGCTGTACAAGGTTGATGTAAAATCATGGTGGAGTAAGACCAATAGATTATTGAACAAAAAGTTAAACAGCCCTCTAAACTACTTGACAAACAGTCTACAGTATGTAATGGTAACCAACAAGAATTAGCAGAAAAAGTGGCTGAATTTTTCAATTCAGTCACTGATGATTTTGAACCCCTTCAAAATCCTAGTGTTGCCCCTCTTAATACACCTGTCTTCAAATTCATAATAACGCATGATCAGATATATGTCAAATTAAAAGCTCAAAGTGTAAATAAATCCCCAGGGCCTGATAGTATACCCACATCGGTCTTTAAGGACTTTGCCAACATTTTAGCAAAGCCTCTTTGTGCAGTTACTAACTCCAGTTTACGTGAATCGTTTGTCCCTCACAAATGGAAAGCTGCAACTATTGTCCCTATCCCAAAAGTTAATCCTCCCACATCCATTGAATCTGACCTCAGACCAATTTCTGTAACTTCTGTATGTTGGAAAATAATTGAAAGTATTATTGGAGAAATGCTTTTAAATGAAATTCAGGACAAGATTGATTTAAATCAGTCGGCTGTATGAAAGGTGTATCAACAGTTGATGCCCTTATCTCAATAATGTTCAAATGGTTTGAAGCTGCAGACCAAGGTAATGAGACCCGAGTCCTGCTTTTAGACTACAAAAAAGCATTTGACCTTATTGACCATACGATTGCAATTGAAAAACTTAACAAATAAAATGTTAGTACAACTTTGGTAAATTGGATTCATGCTCTCCTAAGCCATAGAATGCATAGAGTACGTATTGGCGATCACTTCTCGAGATGGCTAAGTCCGAAGGGAGGTGTGCATCATTATCTTCATTAATGACCTTAAAGTTAATCTTCCTATTGTTAAATACATGGATGACACCACAGTGTCAGAAAAGATTTCTAGTAAAGAACCGAGCACCTTAATAAAAATGTCTGTGAGGAAATCTGTAGCTGGTCCACTAGCAACAGAATGAAGATTAATGAAAAGAAAACTAAGGAAATGCTAATTAGCTGTAAACGTGTAAAATCACAGCCTCCAATGATTCAAATAAATGGTGTTAATATTGGCAATGTTAGTCAATCTAAATTGCTAGGTGTTACAATCCAGGATGACCTAGGATGGGAAAGCCATATTCAATCTATTGTATCCAAATGTAATACAAGAATCTACTTTTTAGTTCCTATGCATGTAATGCAATAGGAACTATTGTAATCACTTTTGCTATTTACTATGTTTTTTATTGTGTGTAGTGTGTGTGTGTGTAGACATTTATGCAAATGCGCATGCGTCAAAGAAAAGTTTTCCGACATTTTGTTTTACATCGCGATGCGAAGATCGATGTGAAGTTTCTGCAGAGTTCAGTCAG